AACCCCTAAACCCCTAAACCGAAGCAGTCTCTCTTTTTTGGGGCCAAGGACCAGCTCCCTGGGCACGACCCGCAAGAGGCCGCGCTGGAAGAACTGCACCTCGACTTAGTGCTTCATATGGGTGGTTGACAAAATTATGGTCCCCTTTTGGGTCCTCATTATAATACGGCACCTATTATTTAGGGTACCCCAAAAGGGACCATAATTTTGACAACGACCCATATGGGGGTGTCCGAAAATAGGGGACCCTAATATAGCACCCTAAATAGTAGGAGCCTTGTTATAAGGAACCCCAAATAAGGTACCCCTTATTTTCGGAAACTCCCATATTCCTTAAATTATAGTCGGATCCTTAATATGATTTAAGGTAGACTCCTTACTTAAGGGACAATGGAGCCTCTGGGTGCAGGGGCCCTTCATAATTAGAATACAGTTTTGGGGGTTCCTTTAAAGGGTTCCATAAAGGGCTCTGTACTGGGCTACTAGAAGGGTTTGGGGTTTAGGGGCCTCACTTAGCATTCTATAGGGTTTAGGGTGAAGGGATCAGGGCTTTTGGGTTGACTCATAGGGTTTGGGGGGTTTAGGGTTTAGGGTTTGGGGTTTCGGGTTTGAGGTTTGGGGTTTAGGGTTTAGGGTTTTCGGACACTCACACTCGGACAAGGCAGGGTCTGCAGATATTAATCCCTCCCAAATGGTTTCACTGAGGAGGTTCGCTGTCACGTGGAGCGAAAAGTACGACTTGGGAGTTAGGCTTGTTTTAAAGGGCTTATGAGCGAGGCTTGATAGGGTTTGCGAGGATATTCTAGCCTTTCATGCTGCGTGTTGTTTAAGGGAGCCACAGCCGATTTTATGGAAGTGTGCAGGGGTTTATGAAAGGGTTCCGCGGGGACTCTGCATGGATTGTACCGCTGTTCTATGACATTGGGTTTCGGGTTTAGGGTTTAGGGAATTGGGTTTAGGGTTTAGGGTATGAAACTATGAGAGTTGGACTTTCAGACTTGGGGGTTCGTGCAGGCCCGTGCTAAACATACCCTGCGTTGTTTAGAGGCCAGGACCCCGTAATGTAGAATTGGAATAGGATTTTGGGGTATATTATACTATACTTATAATAAGGAACCCCAACAATAGTATTGGTAATTATTTGGGCCACTATGTTAAACACCAACTTCTGTCTTTAAAGCTTCCAGAAAAGACGATTCAAGCAGACCACCGCAAGAAACAAGGCCCCACTTTGCTGTCGGATCACGGCGCAACCCTGTTGAAAACTTTACATCCCAACACCGCAGAACTGTGCCAGACTTCCCAAGCTTAGCCGGAAGACAGTGTCAAAAAGGGTCTAGGGTTTAGGGTTTAGGGCGCAGGGGGCTCACCCCAGAGTCCGAAAAAAGCCCTCTCAAAACCCCAAACCCTAAAACCCTAAAACCCTAAACCCTAAGCTCGAAACGGGCGCGAGTATATGCCACGAACCCAAGCGCTCTTTGCTGCGGCTGCTGCAGATTTACAAAGAACCGAGATTGAGCCCTTTTTTTTGAGCAGGGACTGCAAGGCACTAAGCCCTGAATCCCTTCAGCCAAGCTCCTGACCCCGAGACTGAACCCTAAACCCAAAGACTTGTGCCTTAAGTAACACTTCATAATACTCTTTCGGGCTCCGTAGTGTTAGGTTTATAGTATAATATACCCGACAACCCTATTCTTATCCAAAACCATCCAAAATTCAAAACCGTTCAACTACCAACCCCCCGCTCCGGAAACACATGGCTCCTTGCGTCGAGCACCTGCTTCGCCACACCACTGACTAGGATTCTATCCAAGAGCAGGTGCACAAACTGCTCCTGCGTGAGGCTGCAAGCGGCTTCAATGATGCTCATAATGGTAGTCGTAGTCGTAGTCGAAGGAGGCGGAGGAGGAGGATGAGGAGGAGAGGAAGAAGAAGGGCATCTCAAAAAACAAAACAGTAAGGAAACAAATCCATAAGGATAACAGCAGCAGCAACAAAATAGTAGTAGTAACGACGTTAGTGTGACTAGCTATCATCAGCATCATCATCAACAGCTCACAAATCACGACAAGCCTTTCTTCTGTGCTCAGGCTGGAGGGTTCAGGGCAGATGGAACTTTCGGTTCCTTTTGCCGCGGGCCTTCTAATTACTTCTGAACCCGGCGTGAAACACACAAGTAGGATGCCAAAGCCGGGATGTCACGAAGGTCTTCTGTTTTCTTTTTTTGGGGGGGTGGGTATTGGTCGGGGCTTAGTGCGGTGCTTCAGGTCTGTGCACCCTCCCCGGAAACTTACGGAGGGCTCCCTGCACACAGTCTCAGCCCAACAGCTACGTCCCCCCCCCGTCCCGCGTCCCGCGCTCCCCAACAAAAGACAGAAGAAAGACCCTAAACCCTAAACCCTAAACCCTAAACCCTAAAGCCTAAAGCCTAAAGCCTAAAGCCTAAACCCTAAACACTAAACTGTCCTTGTTGCTCTCCGTGACTTTGATGGACTCGCCGTCCTTGATGAGCGGAGTGCTCTGTACAAGCTCTTGGCAGTGGGACTCCGAAACCACGAAGGTCTGCGGCAGGTGAGACTGCTCAAGGACGTCCTGCTCCAGAGGAGAGTTTTCTTCCGGATTTTTGGAGTTTCGGGGTTCGGACTGCAGGGCTTTTCATTGGGGAGTTCCCCTTCAAGGTTTGAGTTTAGGAGTTCGGACTGTAGGGTTTTTCCATTCCCACCTTCTCAGCAGGACGGTTTAGGGTTTTAGGCTTTAGGTTGTTGGCTTTCATGTACGTAAACCCAAACGTGACAAGAACGGGGTATCCTGGCTGATTCGTCCTACCTCTACCATACCCCGGAACGACTGAACCCGAAACCAACCCGCAAACCCGAACTGACAAGGAAACCCTCGGGACGAAAGACACCAAACTCCCCGGAACGACCTAGCAACCACTAGGGTTCCTAAACCCCCAAAAGCTACCACAACCTGCGTGTACCAAGTCCTAAACCCACCCTAGCCCAAAAAAGGTTAACCTTTTCCATCATCGTACGATTATATAAGCCCCGACGAGGTTCAGGGTTACCTACTCAACCCCTATGCATTATTCAATGGCAGCAGTACACTGGTCTTCAGAAGTGCGCTTATAAGGACCTGGTTTCGGCGCTCACACTCGGAACCATAGGGTTTTAGGGTTAAGAGCACTAAAGGTCTCCTGAGTTGCAAAACCTTCAGTGAGGCTGACTCCTGCAAGGAGTCTCCCAAATCCCGGTAGGAGCCGCTGAGGATGTAGGTCAACTTGGTATGCAAGGTCTTGTCCACCTCCAGAGCTTACGGCTTTGGGTTGTTAAGGCTTTGGGCTTAGCGTTTTGTGTCTGGGGTTTCGGGCTTACGGCTTTCGGGCTCAGAGTGCGGAGGTGTTGGGTTTAGGGGTTTCCTTGGTTCTGCTAGGGTTTTGGGGGGTCCCCGAAGTTCGGGTTTTTAGTGGATCAAGCTTCGGGGTTTGGGCCAGGAGCTGTTGGCATTTTTCGATACCCCCAATTATATTATTATACGAAAATCCAGGAGGGCTGTGAAGGCTGTGAGGCCTCTTTCGCCTCCGGCACCGGCTTCAGCCTAATATAGGGGCCTTAATAATTAGAACAGGGTTTTGGGGTATCCTATACTACAACTCTAACAACAAGGAAACCCTGAAATAGTATCGTTCATTGCTTAGGCCCCTAGATTGGGAGCGTCCGGCACGCCGAAACGAGACTGGCAGAGCAGTCTCCGGAGCCAGACTAGATGCACGAGACGTCACGCTCACCACGAAACGCCAAAATACCCTGCAAAGGAACCTCTTAGGACCCTTCACAGTTGCATTTAGGCTATACAAGAGTTTAATAGAGGGGAGTTAAAAGCCTAGCTGTCTAGGTCTCTAAATTCGGGTCCCTGTTCGGGTCCTTTTGCTAGAGGTGCGGTACTATTTTGGGGGGACCTCAAGAACTCCCAATTTCCTAAGCCAAGCCTGCTCCACAAGAGGCAGGAGGTCGTCGGTATCCGTCTTCAATCCAAATCTTGGTCGCTTTCGCTTGCACTAGGGTTTAGGGTTTAGGGTTTAGGGTTTAGGGTTTAGCTCTTTGTCGTAAACTGCCCCAGCACCCCTAAGTCAAGCGCCTGACACTCTCAAGTACCCTAGACATTCCGCTAAGCCCTCAATCCTTTTAGCCAAGCTCCAGATGCCAGCGCACATCAAACCCTGAAGCCGTAATGTAAGGGCCTTGATAATTAGAATAAGGCTTTAGGCTACATTATACTATAATGACAGTAAGGAATCCCCACAATAGTACTGGTAACTATTCAAACCCCTATATTAAATGCTCGGCATCATCTCCGCCGAAGCTTCCCAGGACGCGCCAAGGCACACCGACCGTAGGAAGTTGTGCCCAAAGTGCACCGGTATCGTCTCCTGGTTATAGGATTTCAGGGTTTAAGGTTTTGGGGTTTTAGGATTTAGGGCTCAGGGTTTACGCTCTCACAACTCGGACATGCCAGGCGAGGATCCATGGTTGAAGGTCGGGTGACACAGGGTGCAGATTTGCTTGACCGGAACTATACAAGGTTTAGGTCTTTAGGCTTTCGACTCTCACGACTTGCTCACGGCAGGCAAGGCTAGTTTAGGTTTGGGGTTTCGGCTTTGGGATTCAGGCCTTAGGATTTAAGGCTCTAGGGCCTCTAGCATTTCAGAGATGTAGGAGTGCAGGGCCGTATTTAGGGCTTGGGGTGTGGCGTGTCGGGTTTAGGGTGATTGAAATTCAAATGTCAAGGTTCAAATTCCTAGGCTTACCTACAGAACCCATAATCCCATTTGTTGACGAGCAAGAAGACGCCGTTTTTTATACACATGTACATGTAGATAATTACACATATGTGTGAATCCCTATATAGAGACAGAGAGAGAAAGGAATTATCAGGATTGTGAGTCATAAATCGGAAAAGAGGGCTTGGCTTCCCAGGCAATATCAGGATTGTGTAGTCTCAGATCCTTCACTCTACTATCTCCTCCCAAGGCTCGAAAACGCATACAACCTAAACCCTAAACCCCGAAACACGCCAAAGAAGCCTTACCCCCAGGCCCTCATTTAAATCCCTGTCGAGCCCAGGCTCTCCAAAACCACCAACTCGCTTTAGGGTTCAGGGTTTACGGTTTAGGGTTTAGGGTAGCCTTCTTGCTGCAGGCTTGCAAGCAAGAACATTTGGTAGTTAGCCACTCCTCCCCAAAAAACCAAATTGCGGTTCACCCGGAATCCTTGTGGTATGTTCTGGCATGAGATCATTAAATTAAGGCAAGCAACACAAGGGATGCCAGTACCAGATATTCAGACTACGTGCGGGTAAACCCTAAACCCTAAACCCCAAACCCCGAACCCTAAACCCTAAACCCTAAACCCTATTCGTGCCTTGTGGAGGATCGCAAAGCCGATGACGCAACCGAAGAGCTCGAACTGCTCGGTCCAGTCTTCCTCGTCAAAGTCCAGAACGGTTTAGGGTTTAGGGTTTACGCTCTCGCAACTCGGACACTGCCAGACGAGTGTCCGAGGGTTTAGGATTTTAGGATTTAGGCTTTAGGGTTTTAGGGTTTTAGGTTTTAGGGTTTGGGGTTTAGGGTTTAGGGCTTAGGGAAATTGCATAGCACAGGGGCCTTAAGAATTACCCATATACTATTTCGGGGGTTTCCTTATTATAGTTCTAGTATAATGTGCCCGAGAGCTTTGGGGACTTCGGTTGAAGGTTCTCCAACCCGCTTAGCTCGGATATGGTGTTTGGGGCTGAGGATGTGGATTTAAGACAGGTTCGGGTTTTAAAGTGTAGATGTATTGCGAAGCTTCAGCGAGAAAATACAACACAGATCGCCAACCCCCGAAATGCTAGACGAACCCAAGCCCATCTGCAGAGCTCATATAAGGGCCTCCAGTCCGCACAAATCACGACCATGAATCCTAAACCCGACGCTCTGCCCCAAAATCCTTGAACTCCGTCCTGTACACACTGGCACACGTTGTCCGGCGAGGGCACGACGATCCTTCCCCGAGACAGGGGACCGCGGTGCCAGTCGTTGCTCATCTCAAGGTGAGCGGCATCCTGCAATCTAAGGGCTTTAGGAGGGACCCTTAATAGGGACCCTTGTAGGTTATTGGGGGTTAATATGGAGACTACCTGGCTTTATAAGGGGTATACATCCTGCAAAGATTCGATGGGCCTTCGGGGTGTGTGGCTTGGGGAGTTTTGGGGTATCGGAGCTTAGGGCTCAAGAAATCCACTGTTGGCTGCGGAGAGGCGCTGGCAGGTTTAGTATGTTTGGGCCCGGGACATAGACGGAAAGTCTCTCTCACGTGCAGGACACCTAAAACCCTAGCAGTCTAGTATACTTACAAGAAGAAACCTTGACCAATAATCGGCTAATGTTCGAACCTTTATGTATTAGACCCCACGATCCCCTGACAGTCGCTATATTGATTTTACCATACTAATACTACTCCTATCCCCTGGTACTCCCGCTATCAACTTCATCACAATAATAGATCCAAGGGCCTCAGAAGGGGACATGAATAGGTCCGAGGCAATGAAGTAGCGGCAGGCTCTGTCCATCCATTGCCTTTTCACGGGTTTAAGGCTTAGGGCTCAGTTTAGAGCTTTCGGGGTTTAGGCTTTTGGGGTCAGGCGTTTATGGCTTCGGTTTCGGCGCTCACACTCGGACAATCCAGGCGAGGCATATGGTGCGAGGTCTGCAAACGGTTTAGGGGTTTCGGATTCAGGGTATAGGGCGCTGAACCCTAAACCCCAGCAACCCCAAAACCTGCATGGCCCCTATGATATATAGATAGATAGATAGATAGATAGATAGATAGATAGATAGACATATACATATATATATATATACATAGCCTAGGCCCCTAGGCCATAGACCCCGAAAGGAGCCGTTACAGGAACCTATGGGTCCGTGACGACTAATGGTCCCGAAGGAACCTCTACATTTACTGCAGAAACCATGACCCTAAACCTTTTTCAGCACGGACTGAGGTGCCGGCAAGCGCCCAAGCAACCCTTACCCCGTCTTAAGGCAAGAGCCAATGACCTTATTTTTTGCATCAGGACTTGTGCAATCGCCTGAACACTGACTTCCTCAATGCAAAGAGTCAGTAAAACTGTACAATGACAGAGCCAATGACCCTAAACCCTCAACCCAAAACCCTAAACCCTAAACCCTAAACCCTCAACCCAAAACCCTAAACCCTAAACCCTAAACCCTCAACCCAAAACCCAAAAGGACCCAGTACTGGCCCCAAACGCCCGTGGTTCCAGTCATTGCCTCCTGGGCCCTCCCTGGTCTTCACCTGAGGTCGGGAGGTCTGAAGTTTAGGGTTTAGGGTTTAGGGTTTAGGGTTTAGGGTTTAGGGTTTAGGGTTTAGGGTTTAGGGTTTAGGGTTTAGGGTTTAGGCTTTTTTTTAAACTCCTTTTTCCGAAACCCGAAGTTTAGGCTTTAGAGTTCAGGCTGAGTTTAGGCTTTTCGGGTTTAGGGTTTAGGGTTTAGGGTTTAGGGCTGAGGGTTTAGGGTTTGGGATTTAGGGCTTGGGCCTTTTGTGGTTGATGGGCTTAGGGCTTTATGGCTTGGGGTTGAGGGTTTGGGACGTAGCGCTTTCGGTTTACGGCTCGAGGCTTTGGCTTGAAGACATGGGGGGGCATCATTGTAAGGTGGCTTAGGCTCTGAGGATAGACTGCGAAAGCTCTGCACCCGGCTTGCCCGGATCCTATTTACCGGCCTCTCCGACTACTCCCCTAAACCCTAAACCCTAAACCCTAAACCCTGGACCCTAAACCCTAAACCCTAAACCCTAAACCCTCGCAGAATGTCAGGCAAGGCCTGAGGATGAAACTAGATACCGGTACAGCTGACAAGTGCCGGTAATGTAAGGGCCTGAATAGTTAGAATAGGGTTGACTGTAATTATAACAAGCAACCCCTAAAAAAAGCATAGGTAATTATTTAGACCCCTATATTACTGCCTATTCGATTTCGGGTCGTCGACTCACAGTCAGACAGGGTTTAGCTCTCGGTTTCACCGGGATGGGGTGTCGGTGGTTAGCGACTATACTCTGACTATATTGCGGAACCCTAAGGGTTAGCATGATGAAATATTGGCATCCAGGCCTGTGCAAACTCCCGGGTAAGCTCATGAAACTGAGGAGGAGCTGCACAATTGCAGGCGCGCCAGCAAGCTTTCGAAAAGAATTAAAGGCTGTTGTTGTGTCGAAAACGTGCACGTCAAGACAAACTGACGCATCAAAGGCGTTGCAACTAACAACCGCAGTCACGAAACTCCTTACACAAGCACAACGAAACATGTATAAGTCGCAGTTGTAAGCTTTCAGCACCAACCGGCAGACTTCGAACAGTTGCTCACACATCGTTCAAAAGCAACTGCAAACCCCAACCTAAACCCTAAACCCCCCTCAACCCAATATTCATGCAGGAAGCTCTTTTGAGAAGCTCCTGCTTCTGCAGTAGTAGAGCTTTGAATATAGATCCATGTGGCCGAACGCAAATGCAACGAAAAGGCGAAAACAGCTGTGGCTCAGGGTTCTCGATGATTGGGTCTGGGGTTTGATTAGACATTATTGTGCGGGCTTAATAATGAGAATAGGGTTTGGGGGGCTATTAAACTATGCTAAGAATGGGATGGAGGAAGGAATAATATTGGCAACTTTTCTAGCTTCTATATTGGACCAGGAGAAAGATGGTCTTAATCCTGGGGCCCCTACCGTAGAATGAGTGGCTGGTCTAAGCCTGAATGTGTTGGCGGATCGAAAACCTTAACCCTGAACCCTGCTCAGACCCCCTTGCATGAACTAAACAATAGAACACCCCGCCAAAAGATATCCGACAGTGATATGGGACAAGGTAAGGCCTGGGTGTCGCGAAGTCTGAGAAGCTCTGAGCTGCTCTGAACACATGTCAGCATAGAATGCCAACATTACAGGTACACTGTAGGTGGTAGCAACAAGGCCTTGTTGGCTCATTTTCCGGATCCTCAAGGGGTCTGCAAAAAAGCCTGTACCCGGTGTGGCGTTTGTAGGGATCGGGGTCTTCTTGCTTTGTAGGACTTATGATCGGGCTCTTCACTGGTAAGGTTCATAGAAGTCAAGCGACCATCTTCCACCAGCTCATTTCCTAGCCAGGGTGTCGGCACGGGAGAGGCTTCCGAGACTTGCGGGTTTGGGGTTTGGGGATTGAGGACTTCAGCTCACGGGGGTTGATATAAGGACCTGAATAATTAGAATAGGGTTTTGGGGGCATATTACACTATTGTTAGAATCAGTAATGCCCAAAAACCTATTCTAATCATTGCTTAGGCTGCGGGTAGGGGTCTCGACGCAGACTCTGCAAAGTCATGGTACTACAATACATCCCAAAACCCGACTCTGACGATAGAAACCATCCCGCCTCGGCGTCATGAACTGCACCACCCTCCATGAAAAGCCCTAAGTCTCAACCCCAAGCCCCAGAATTGCAATCATTATTGTGAGACTTCGTATATTCAATACTTCTCAGGCTCCTAGTCTTCCCCCAACATCATCTTCTTTCTGATGAGGACTTGAACCACCGCCACTATCAGTCCACAGTAAGCCCCCAAACCTTACACCCCGCCACGCCCGCCTGTGTCGTCGGAGTATCCCGCGCGGAATTCGATCTCCAGGGGCGCGTCGATGCGGGCCTGTGCATCCTGGGGCATCTTCCGGGCTGGGGCTCTGAGGGTTCAGGGTTTAGGGTTTAGGGTTTAGGGTTTAGGGTTTAGGGTTTAGGGTTTAGGGTTTAGGGTTCAGGGTTTACGCTTCAGGGTTTAGGGTTTAGGCTCGAGGCTGTAGGATTGGTTAAGGTTGTTTGGGGTCCTTGGATTGGACTCTATTGAACTACCTTAACCTACCAAAACCCACTTTTTTTGTAGATTCTTATGGCAAACCCCAACATGGGATTTATAGGGACCCTACAAAAAAAAACTAGGTTCGGGTGGGTTTAGATAGTTGTAAGCCGAAAGCCTGGACAGCTCCGGCTCCAAGATGCGAAACTCCAGGCCTCCACTTCCCCAAAACCCCGAAACCTACATGCGAAGCCCTGGTGAAAGGAAACTACAGGAGTTTAGGGTTTAGGGTTTAGGTTCCCTCGACTTTAAGGAAACTACAGGTGGGGAGTTTAGGGTATCTAGGGCTTCCATAAGGCTTCTATAAGGTATATAAACCTTCTCTAAGGCTCCTATAACGGTAACTACCCGCCTGAAAATGTCCTAGACCTCGAGCCCCAACAGCCTCTCTCCCCAAAGACCGAAGCCCAACAAAGCTTCTAAGAAGAAAGAAGAAGAACGCCTCAAATCCTTCTAAACCCTCAGCCCGAAACTCTAAACCCCAAACCCGAAACTCCAAACCCTAAGCCCTGAGAAACCCGAAACCCCAAGCAAGAAACGGTTCTGAGACTTGAAGGGGCCTGCAGGTTGAGCGTGGAGCAGACACCATCCAGGACCTCAGCGCGCTTGTCTTTTTGCGGGGATTGGGGAGTGAATCGTCTTTTTTTGCTTATTTTTACTATTACTAATACCATTATTACTATTACTATTACCATGACTATTGCTATTATAATTAAAATTACGATTACTAGTTCTATTACTCTCACTAAACGGGGGTTGGAGGAAACCTACAGAAGCCCCAGAAAGCTCCTTGAGACCTGATATTATGACATCCTCGAAAATGCCGTTAAGAACCTTCCATGTCATTGTATCGTATAATTAAAATAGGGATTGGTGGTGTATTGTACTATAGTTATAATAAGGAACCCCCAAAGTAGTATAGGTAGTTCTTAATGCGCCTATATTGCCTGTTGGAGAAGAAAGCAAAACACAAAACAGACTAAGCCCAGGACGTTGTCCCGTGGAACCACGATGCGGATGGGTTCACCGGCGCCCTGACGAGGAGGGCTGTTGCGGGTGTTTGGTTCTGCTGTTGCTTGGTGTCGTTTGTGGCTTCTTGTGCTTTCGGGTCTGGGGCGTTAGTATAGAGTTTAGGGTTTAGGGTTTAGGGTTTAGGGTCGGTGTTAAGCTTTCTGTTAGCGGTCTTGCGGCTTCGACGGTTTATGGCTTTCCGGGTTGGGGGCTCTGGGGCTGGGAGCTCTTATTTTTAAAGCGCTGAGGTCTTCCTTTGGGCTCAGACTAGCAGGACTTTTGGCTCCAGCCTGCAACCCAAAAGAAGAGTTGTTGGGCTTTAGAGTCGGAGGATTGACGGTCACAACGGAAGTTTCATGGTGTAGGGATTAAAGGAACCCTTTGAAGGCAACCCTGGCCTTGAAAACGGAATTCTTGAGTCCAGTTGTTGCTGAGGCGCTAAAGGGAGGGGAGAAATTAGTCAGCGGTTTACATTACATTACATGACGAAAAAGCCCTCAAAGACCCAGGCCGCTCTTTCTCAAATTCGGGGATGGCTTCGGCGGGCCTGTGTCAGACGAACGCGATCGCACTGCGCATGGATCATCGCCCGCTTCGTGGTGAAGTCCAGGAGACAAGGGTAAAAAGACACCTGTAAATTCAGTACCATGGGACTTCGCAGGTGGAGACACAAGTCGGCACACAAAAGATGTGCTCTAGGATTGCTCTTTTGCTACCCATCATGCCAGATGAAAAGAATTTTCGCTTTACAGGCCTTCATCCTAGAATCAATATGGAAATCAGTATCATTGGTCATGGAACGCTTGCAAATCAAGGGTTTTGGGCGATATCCCTTAATCAAGGAACTGTGCAATCTGCGTGGCATAATTCGGTAATGTTGCTTCGAAGCCACGTTGAGTGTGCGTTAGCCAAAGAATAACTAATCGACCGCTAAGGTGAGCCATCCGGGTAACTAAAGCTGGGGGCAGTGTTTGAAAGATGCAGCTTTGGTGACGAGAGCTCGAGCGACCCTGGCCCCATGAATCCCACAAGCACTCTTGCACCCTTTGGACCTGAATCCAAAACCCGAAGCCCCAAACCCCAAACCTTAAACCCCAAACCCCAAACCCCAAACCCTTTTTGAGCACGGGCTTGGATTGTATGCCGGCAAGATGCTCGAGGGCAGGGACTTCCCAGCTGGAAAGACTGTACATACTGGGGTACGAAACCCCAAACCCGAAATCCCAAACCCGAAACCCCAAACACTACACCCCAAACCCTAAAAAGCCCAGAGCCCCATGCAGCCCGACCGAGCTCTGCACTGGAAGGCCTGACCCCCTCACAGCTTTTTGGGGGAAGCTCCCAAAAGGGGGAGAGGGGAGGGGGGCCCTAATATACCCTGTGAGGGGTACTTTGCAATAGAACTGTATAGTACTTGGAGGGTCGGGAGACTTAGTAAGTAGGTAAAAAGTAGACTTATAAGTACCCTAAAAGGGACCCTAATTGGGGTTATAGTACTTATAAGTCTATAAAATAACTGGGTTCTTGTTAAGGGATTTAATTCAAGTTACCATAATAAGGAAACCATATTATTTACTATAGATCCCTATTATGGTAACTTAAATTCAATCCCTTAACAAGAACCCAGAT